GTTCCAATGCCTCACCAAATTCATCACAAAAAAAGGTCTCCCTTCTCTCTAGTCTAAACCTATCCTCTTTTAATTTAAAGGCATTTCCCCTTGTCCTATCATTCCATGGCCTTGTAAACGTCCCTCTTCACCTTTCTTGTAGGCCTCTTTCAGCTACTGGCCATCTGCTCAAAGGTCTCCCCAAAACCTTCTCTTTTCCAGGCTGAAGAACCCCAACTGAATCAGTCTGTCTTCCTAGGAGAGGTGCTCCAGACCCGGGATCAGGTATGCAGCCTCCTCCACATCCCCTCCAACAGATCCTTGTCTTTGCTGTACAGAGGACTCCAGAGCTGGATACAGTACACCAGGTGGGGTCCCAAAGTTATTAAAAATAACAGAGTTTGGTATAACAATGTCATTTCAAAATAACAGAGATGGCTGCTCTTCTGCCACTTTAGTCCACACATCCAACCAAACAAATTACAAAAGATTTAAGAAAAAGTAACAATCTCATTCCTAGTTTACCTCTCATTGGTTTTCACAGAAAAAAGGTTATGTCACTAAGATTCACTTGTCCTTCCCCAATATCTATCATATCTATTTTATAAAATACAGTAACTAAGAGAATTAGATAGATATCTATGGATAGCCATATGGAAATACTAAATATTTTACAAGAAGAGGTAGCAATACATGTAGAAAGCACACTGTTCTGCCTCATAAAAGTGAGTGGTGTTTCTCCTCTCTTCCATCAGTCCCCACCACGTTTCAACAATGATTCTTATTATTTTTCTTATTATTATTCCTTCTCTTTTTAGCTTTCATCATCTATCCACTAAAGAAGTCTTAATTCACATGCATTTACTTTCTCTTCTATTTCTCTTTTCTCTTCTATTGAGAGGCTGCTGAGAACTTCTCAAGAAAGTCTGCATATTTCCTCTATTTCTCCTTAATTTTTTTTATATTCCATTTAAAAATTGAGGTTTGACTTAAAGGTCACATTTGGCAGAGCCATGGAACTATCACTAGGGTTAGGTGATATTGTTGCATCTCTTAGTTGCAGATTAGACTTGCTAAACCAGAACATCCTCTCCTGACTGAATATGTAATTCAACCTTTACCTTTCCAGCTAAATTATCTCTTCCACACTGAACAAAAAGAAGCTCTAATTACTGTTTATGAACAGTCTACTCTTCTGCTACAGTTCTTATAGTATGTGTTTTTACTAAAACATATCCAACTCAGCCCTTCTCTTCATGACATCCATATAATTCTATATTTTGTTCATTCTCTCTTTTGTCTCTCTTTCTTGTCTAGTCCTATCATTTAATTCAAAATACCCTAGTAAAACATCTTCCTAATTTCTCTGTTGTACTTCCCTCTGGATTCTTCCTAATCAGCTCTTTAATCTCTTAAAGTTATCAACATCACAAATGCATTATTGCATTGTGAAATTCCTGGATCCACCATCTCTTCTGCTAGGGTCACATTCTCCTTAGATGACATTCCCCAACTCAATTTCTTCTACTATTATGTTTCATCTTTGACTTCAACATACCACGCTTCTGAACATAGTTTTGAATTCTTCTTTCAATCTGAAACCTTCCCCTGTCTTCAACTTCAGGACTCTGACTCCCTGTGAAGGAACAATCACTCGGGGAAAAAACCGCATGGTAAAAATTGCATATAGTAAATTTTATTCGTCCAGTTTTAAATTCAAAAATCTCTGCAGTCAATTCCACTGTTCCTGACTTATATTAAAATCCAATATCTTAGAGCCTAATATCTAAAAAGCTGACAAATTCTCTCAGTTCTCATGTCAGTGTTTCCAGAAGACAGTGTTTTCCCATAAAACTTGGCATGCATCTTTCTATATATTCACCATATTTCACACTATTATAGTGCTTCTTGCTCTACCCACTATACTTCTTGCCTTGCTACTCTTGAGTTAATTCAAAAAAGTGTTGTTTTCTCTTCTCTGCCTCTTAAAACTCAGAGCTGCTGCTTTTCATTCAGATTTCCATCTGGAAAATTGATTTGATTTTCCTTTCCATCTACTTCCTGACTTTTATCCTTAACTCTACATGATGCTTCCTATCTCCTTACTCTTGAAATCATATTTTCTAACTCCCATCTTGGTGCTTTCTTTTAATCTGCCCCTTGTAAAATACAGAAAAATGCAAAAATGTCAGGCACATATGACAATATTTTGCAAACCAGATAAAACCATCCTGATTATCGCAGTGCAAGTAGCCACTCATCTCATTAATATCCAGAGGATCTAAATGTACTATGCTTTTTTTTTTCTTTTAAGCAATTTTAAGCAATGAAGAAATCTAACAAAAAAGACACATGGAGAGTTTTCAGCTACTTAATATGAATGCAAATCCTAACATACTAATTAAGTATAAATTCAAAAGTCTAAACTCTGTAATATTATGACAGGTTTGAAAAACAAAGAGCCATATAAAACTGGTCATATTTGCAATCTCCTTTTCCTGTAATCATGTCTGTATGCCAAACAGCAAAGTACATTTTCCACTGATACTTGGTAATAAAGGGGTACTTTCACTGATGCCAAGATCTGACTTTGGGTCACAATTACAGCCCATTTTTTGCTATCCTATTAAACCAAGAAATCCCTCTTTGAATTACAACCCCTAAAAATCAACTAACCTTTCAATATTGAAGCTGGAACGAGACAATACAAAAATCCCATGAGTTTGAGCTGAAATTAGTTGCTGGATTTAAACAGCTGGGGGGGAAGGGAGACATGTCTGAAGAAAGCATACTGAGAGCAGCAGGAGTCCCTTCAGGAGAGAAAGAGAGAACAGTTAGTAAGAGGAAGCAGGATAAATAATGTGAGAAGAATGGTGTCTGTAAAATGAAAAAGGGATAAAAATAAGTCTTATTAGAAAGTGGAACAGAGAACACAGAGGAAAGCAAAGGAGTGGAACTGGTGATGCTCCAAGATTTTAAGTAGAGTCATCTCTAAAGCTGTAATTGTTGCCTCTGATTAAAGTGTAAAGCACTGAGAAAGATTTGTCATTACACAATAAACTGACATGGAGATTTGTGAGTTTCAGATAAGGCTGGGATAAAGAGTCACTCAGACTAGGTACAGCGAGTTCATCATGTGATCTGAGACCAGCTATGCTGACAAGGGGACATTCTCCAAAACCTGTAATTGCACTGGACACAACAGAAACTCAAGATGCAAAGGATAGCAGGTAGTGCTACTGGAGCTTTAGTCAGCATTACATTTATGGATATCTCAGGGACTGCATCTATCAATATTAATGTAATTTCAAATTTCTACTGCAGTGTCATTCAGCTTCTCAAGACTAGACAGGTATCAAGCACTGATCCAAGCACTAAATCAAGACAGCCTCAGCATCTAAATACATAACACCTGTTTGGAAGTACATATAAGAAAAAAGAATACATTTTCAAAAAAGCAGAAGTGCTAGTTCTTGGGAAGGTGCTACCTTTCTAATATAGCATGAGGCTAGGACCCAAAATATGCACAGCCAATAAATGCTAAGATCATCTAAGACTTAGTACTGGTAATTGCATCCTTGCATATTAAAATTCTTAGTGCTGTTTCAGCTTGATATAACATGCTTTTACATTATTTCATAAGCTAAAGATGTGAAAAATTCCACAATTTTGCAGTACATCTCCTGCCACTCATTGGTTATGCGTTAGTATGGCTAATAAGATTTGACCCTAAGGAAAGAAATTTTAAAACCAGGATGTCTTCATACTGGGTAAGAGATAACTCTGTAGGAAAAGCAGGTGCATTACCTATATACCAGATGCAAAATAAATCCCAATTTAAGTAATTCCATTATTTGCTCAGCAGTGTTACTGAAATGCTATTATAACTACGCAAAAAAAATGAGTCAAATTTCTATGTGCCATTATGTGAGACAATCATTATAATTTATTAATTATTTCTGTAATACTGCTGAACATCTAGAAAATATTTAATATTAGTATTTCACACGTGCTTCATAGAACTAACTAATTCTTGAAAAAGAAATCACAGGACCAAATCCTAACCACATAGCTATAAAAGGTTCTCATTCACTTTTTTTCCCACACTGAAAAAAAGTCAGACCAGATCTGTGAAAGTTAGGAAAAGTTTATAGTCACTAGGGTCAGAAGAAAATGCCAGCCAACCGTGGAAAGGATGTAGAGTTATTGTGGGAACTACTGGACACAGCAAGTTGCATTTCTGCAAGACACCATATTATCACTCTATTTATTTAGTGTACTTCCTCAGACATTTCTACAACAACTTACTTAGAGAAATGCTCCCTCACTATGAAACATGCACTGCAATGTAGAATATAAATTTATAACTTCTACAATAAGAAATTGTAGTTAGAGGTTCTAAAAAATGCTGGTCATCTCACTTGCATATCCTCAGTGACACAGATTAATTATTATGGAATAATTTCCTCTGAAGATAACAGGGCTTGATGATTACTTCAACACTGGATTTGATTGAATGGCTTGTTTCATTTTCTTGAAGAACACTATCATCATCTGGTGGTATATTTTGCTACTATGTAAACTACAAGCTATGAAGATGAAAGCATTTCATTTACTTAGCATTAAACATTTAGAAGAAGACATAGATTTACCACCTTGAAGATATGCCAAACTATGCGGGGGTGGAAAACGCAGTACCAGGAAATTAACTTGACAGAACAGGATGTTGAGAACAAACAAGATGCTGACATTTTACATGAATGAAATTTGAATACTTCTCTGTCCAGAAGTAAAAGACAGACTAAATACAACAATAGAGTTCAAGGGTGCTTCATATCATTATTTATACTATCGTCAAAGTATAAGGGATATGAGTTTTCAAGAAAACCTCACAGGCTGTTCAAACAAAAATATTTTTCACATAGTTTTTCTTATAATTGGAGGTGGAGATCTCACATCCAAAAGTCAAATATTTATTACAACATTCAACCAGAATCTGAATAAATCAGTTTTTGACTTACGTGGTAACTTTTCAGTCTAACAAAATCGACTTTCATGGAGATGAATCTTTCTGAATTTCTGCTAAGATTTTTAATGTGCTCCACAAGATCAGCACAGAACTTATAGCCACCTTTGAGGACACACAGAACCACGATATCATTGTCTCCAATGTCTTGCATAATATCTTTTGCCAGTCGTTCTGTCCTGGGCAAAAAAAATTTTGGAATAAAATAACTTTAGATGCAGATGCTCTAAGTCCATGGTACACTTTACAAACACTATGGTGAATATAAAGCTTGACTGGCATTGTTTAAGTATCCTGACTTCCCAGAATCACAGAGTGATTTAGGCTGGAAAAGACCTTCAAGATCATCAAGTCCACCCTTTGACTGATCACTACAATGTCAACTAGACTATAACAGTAAGTGCCATATCCAGTCATTTCCTGAGCATCTCCAGGAATGGTGACTCTACCACCTTCCAAGACAGTGCATTCCAATGCTTGACTGGGTCTGGATCCAGCTCACAGATGGCAGATACAGTGTGATGGATGCAAGATGCAAAGCACTTGAATCTGGTTAACCTAAAATGCATAAATTTCCCAGCTATACAAACATGACTTACACATCTCAAAATATTTTGGGCTCATAAATATGTCAGAGACTTGAGAGAAAAGAATGTGAGCTAGCCTTCCATTTTACCTCATATGCATTATCAGTATAAAATATACCTTTACAAACCCTAACTTGTTATGTTAGTTAATGCACAAGAACAACAAATTAAGTGAAAGATAGGGAAGAAAATGTCTTGCTGATTGGCTTTGGAAGATGCTACCCTACAGTTTTAATAAAAATATACATAAAAACTAGAAAGAAATAGAGCATCAGTGAAGAGCTTATAAGGAGTGTATATTATGACTATACTGTACAGCTCACTGTTTTATACAGCAGAAATGAAGAGTGCAAAGAGCTTCAGTGACTTGTTCAAGGTCACACACAGGCAAATACTCGAGAAAATGCTTCAATGAACCTGGAACTGTGGGGTTCCCAACCAAACCTATCCTCTCTTTGACAATTCTGCATTGCAAACACAATATGGCAGATGATTGGAAACAAAAGATACACATTTCTGCAATGCTACATACATTTTAAAGATAAAAATAATAAATTTTAATCTTAATAATAAATATAAATAATAAAGATTAAAGATAGCATTTCTAGACCTACAAGAGGGTACTGAGTCATTTCTACATCTAATGCAGTATCAAAGAAAACTTTAACAGTGTCATTTGATGTTCTGAGGAAAAACAGCTCAGTGCATTATATTCTGTAAACACTTAGACTAGAAAATTCTTTGACAGCTCTCTGAATTAGTTTAGTAGTTTCAATGAGAGTGGGCTTGTTGACAGGACACAATTTATTAAATAATCCTATAATTTATCCCATGTCTTTTATTGTTACATTTTTCAGGTTTGGCTGTTTTTTTCTTTCTCTACCGACTGTAACAGAGAAATTAATTTGCCCCTACATAAGTACATTGATTGAACTTCAGTGAAATCTGTGCATGGAGCAGACTGAAGTTACTATACTAAATATAGAAACAGCTTCATTTCCACATCTTTTACTTTTAATGCTCTAGTAAATTCTATATAGCAATAATTAGTATATTTTTGATATGAGAAATAGAAGATATTAGAAATATTAGATCATCTCATCTGATCTGAAACATATAATTCTTTTTAGTGTTGTAAGAATGAGGACCACTTGCTTTACTGAAGTTTAATAAGATAGTCTTTTATCAAGTCTGAGAATGGGGAAACCTCTCATTAGGAAACATGTCTTTGATGATTTTCATTTTTTATATTGTTCCTCAGATTTTTTTGCAGCTGAAATTTCCAGGAATTCCAAAGACCACTTTGTATGTTAAAAGTGTAGGAACTCCAGCACAGACAAAAATGTACTAATTTAAATTTCTAAATAAAAATATCCAAGATTTTACCTTATAATATTTCAGGACAAAGATTATACATGCACTGTATATGGATGACAGCCATTATTAAAAAGAATAATATTACTGACCAAACAATTTTAGTAACATTCAAGCTACACATACCTGTCAACAATAATGCCATGAGGAATGAGCACATATTCCAGGTCTCCATAGTAGTGCTGAGGGTAAGTGAACAAATCCAGACTGTATCCAGGCCAATTGTCTGAAATCTGAATATCAAATAGTACTGTCAAGAACACTTTATGGTGTTTGACATTATGTAACTGATACAAAATCAGCATTCTAGTACACTCTATTGGATGAATTCATTGTGTGCCATACTTTCTTCCAGTTACAATTTACTATTTTGCTTCTCCCATTATTATTTTGCTTTTCAGTATAACTCAGAAATCAAATGCTACAGTTTTTTCCCTACAGAATGTGGGGAATATCACCTGAAATTATAAACAACTAGATAGACAAAGAAAATATTTAATACTAAACTAGTGGCAAAAGTAAGTTGCTAAGTACTTTCAAAGTGCAAATATAATATTGCCACTAAGAAGGGATTCTTCAATGGGAGATTCAGATGGTAGAATTAAAAGCCATAAAATTATATGTTAAAATTGTACATTTCTAGTTTAGAATTACTTAAAAGTCATAAATAAATATTCTACAGATGAAACAGCACATGGAGAATAATTTATGTGGTTCATGGATGATATCTGTACGAATCAGTGAAAAACTGTACTTCTTTCCAAAGGTGAGGTTCTTTATTTAGATGTCATCAAAGATAAGCGTTTACAGCGTTTGCATCTCACTTCACTATAAAACTAGTCTGTAAATCCATATATTTACAGAAAAAAAAAATTACAAATGCAATATACATTGTTTTTGTAAGTATCAGAATACAGAGATTAGATCTCACAACATACAATGGTGGTAGAGATTAAGAAGGTAAAAAATTAGCCAACAGTTGAAGGCTTCAGAAAGGTATGAAATGCAAAGTCACCAGCACAAAAATGAAACAAACTCCAAAACAAACATTTCCCCTATTCCTTGTGAAAGACAAGACCTGCAGGTTCACAAGGTATCTTGAAATCACCACAAAGGTTTGCTTCAATACTGGTTCAGGATAAAAAGTGACACCTAAAAGTTTTCCTTACAATCATATTCCTCAAGTCGTACATTGTCTTTCTACAGCTTGGCTACAGGAATCTTGAATACAAGGAGAAATGGTGACAAACTTGCCATTGTGCAGTGCATGCCTTAATGGCATTTTTGCTACAGATAGTCTTTAAAGGACCATCACTGAAACTTATCTCCGCTTACCATTTTATAGTAGAGCAATAAATGTTTTCTCATAATTTTGGCTAAGATAGCATATTTGTTGTTGAGCTGTTCCATCACATCCCCTCTTCTTTAACTCAGACACAGCCCTGCCTCATGCTGTATTGAAACACTCTTCTGCCTTGTGGATTTTGGGTTGCTTAGGGGCTTTTTTTGCATATTCATCGACAGCTACAGGCACCCTGACTGCCATGTTTTCTTTACCCAAAAATTTCTGCATCAAAAAAGTTATTCGTTGGCAACTGCAACTGAGTATTTGCCCATGAGGGGCATGACTGGGAGATCACTGGAATCAATAAAAGCTTTTCCCCTGACTTACACAAGCCTTGAAACTACACAAAAGAAAAAAAGTTACTTAGTTGCGTTCCTCATTTCCATAGAAACAGGAGATTATAAATATTCTCCTTGGAGAGGTTTTTAATTAGAGGCAAATCTTGCTCCAAAACCACTGCTGCAGTCAGACTGGAAAGGCTATTTTCTCATCTTGTTTTTCAGCGCATTGGGGGGGCGGGGGGAACTTTTTAAACATTTTGTAGCAATGAACATTCTATTCAAAAGCATTTCAATGCAAACTGAAACAATTTCACTAGCAACTCCTGTCAGGGTTGCTTACTTCTGCATTCCTGTCAAACTGTATGGTTTCAGTGTCATGTACAAGATCAAATGCATAAAATCTGCTTCAAAATTCATACAAACCAATTAAGTTTTGCTTAGGTTACAATACGTCCTTTATAAAACAGGATCAGGATGAAATTTTGATTCTCCCATTTATCCTTCTGGTTCTCTAGAACAGCAGAACATAAAGAGTGTAGTTCTACAATAACATTGAAGTTCTTGTTTACAAGGGCTTGCTGGCATTTGACAAATAAGATGAAATTCACATGTGCTTTCAAATTAATTATTTGCCTGATATAATAAGCCTATTTCATATTCTCCTTTCTTTTAAACAGGCACTTCCCAACAAGTCTTACAACTTCTCATTTATCTTAAAGCTATTCACAGTGTTATACTATAAGACAATTTTCATGTAACTGTAAATTCTTATGACTATTCTGTTTGAGAATTTTAAAAGCCCTTGAAAATATGAAGGAAAAAATTCTGATTATTTCAGAAAAAAAGCACTATTCAACTGGATAAGTAAATATATATTCTAAATACATTGGCATAAAAAATCCTACAGTAAAAGAAAGACCTACTTTTAAAATTAAGGCTTAGCATGTTTGAATACCCAGCAGATATTCCTCATTAACTCTTTAAAAAGTTTATGTGAATGGATACAAAAAGGAATACTAATACATGGCAATATCCAAAAGTGTTCCCTTGAGGCCTAAGAGAGAAGCTGAAGACACTCAATTGCAACACCTTTAGAAGAATGTTGCTCGTTTTCTCACCTGGCAAAGTGAGCACAGGTGAGGTTTGAGCTGATTCCTCAGCAACAAGCCAGCATGAAGCAAAGTCCAGCTTTTGTAATCTAAATGATGCCACACTGGACTTACTGCTGGTTGGGTTTTTGGGGAGTTGAGCAGAAAAAATTAAACCAGTGCAGCAGAACATGGTCATGCACATTCATGTCCTTCTTTGCAATAACCTCATGTTGCTTTGCTGATGTGCACCTTCCCCACTTAAGGAATGTCATTTATTACACAGGTGTCAGGACACAGGGTTGATGTGTGGTGTTTTCAGACAGAGCTCAAACACAGAGACAAGTCCTTCAGAAGGGGGATGGAGGGGACATTGAGTGGACAGAGTGTGACCACCGCCTACACAGAGGGCCCTGAGCCATGATCTGGGCAGCTGACCCATGAACTTTCTGTAAAAATCCTAATGCCACAATAAAATAAGAACATACCTAAGGTAGCGGCACTGATGGCCTTTGCTTCCCAGGAGAATCTAGGTGTGTCTATCAGAGTAAGGATCACTTTCATTCAGTTTTGCACCATTTATCCGCCCCTACAGGCACTCCGAACGCACTGCCAAGGCTCGGGCTGTTTCCCACCCCAGCACAACGCGGGCAGCCCAACCCTCTTCCACAGCGCCCGCAGACCCCCAGGGGCCTCTCAGAGTCCCGCTGGGAGAACGACACCTCGGGATGCCTGCAGATCCTCATCCCCGGTACCCAGGGAGCCCGGGGAAGCACAGCCACGGCCACGGGAGCCGCTCGGGGTGGTACAGGACCGTGTTTACACGGCGGAAGCCAAAGGCGCGGCTCAGCCCAGCCCCACACGCCCGTCCCCCTGCGGCAGCCGCAGCGGGTGAGGAGACGCGGCCCAAGCGCCGGCCGGGGGCCCGGAGCAGGCGAGGAAAGGGAAGGGAAGGGCGCGGGGGTTCAGCACAGAGCGCCGGGGGAACGGGCCGGGGAGCGGGGACCGGGAAGGCACCGCGGGCGGGGCGGGCCGGGCCGCGCTCCACATTTACCACAACGCCACGGCCTCCAGCGCTGCTCCCGCCCTGCCCGGCCATGTTCCTGCGCGCGCCCGCGCGAGGGGCTGCGGCGGGGCGGGGCCGCGCCGGGGAGAGCGCGGGGCGGCGGGTGCGGGGTGCGGGATTGGGGGTGCGGGATTTGGGGTGCGGGGTGCGGGATAGGGGGTGCGGGATTTGGGGTGCGCGGTGTGGGATGGGGGATACGGGATGTGGGGTGCGCGGTGCGGCAGGTGCGGGGTGCGGGGATGGGGGATGCGGGATGGGAGGTGCAAGATGCGGGGTGCAAGATACAGGATGCGCGGTGCGGGATGGGAGGTGCGAGGTGCAGGACGCACAGTGCGGGATGCAGGCTACGCGGTGCGGGATGGGGAGTGCAGGATGCGGGGTGCAGGCTGGAAGCTGTGCGGGTATAGGTACGGTCGGGATGGTGGAAAGGCTTGGGCACGGCTGGCCAAGGGGCCTGACCTGTGTTAATGGTAATATTATGCTGGTGTGGTTTAAACTGCTCTTTTAACAGGATTTTCTTGTACTCCAGGGAAGAAAAAAATTAAATTTCCAACAGTTCAGTAATCATACTTTCCATCCTCACTATCTTCAGCAGTTGCTGTTCCTTCCCCCCACCGTGCCCGTGCTGGGGCAGGCTGTGTCTTCCTATTGCCCCAGCCCATGCCCATGTTGCCTGTACTCTCTGCAGTTGGAGATAAACAGATCAGGCACCAGAAACTGCAGCTTTCTGCCATCCCCTTCCAATTCTGTTAAAGTTATTATTAATATTTTGCTTTCACTGCCTCACAGATTAGAAGGAGTTTGTTTTTTTCTTGGCTTACTCTGATCATTGCCTACCTTTATGTTCCTATATAAGAAGTTCAAATTTGGACTTGCTCCATCCTTTTTGTATCCTGTCTTTTGTGGAAAATGCTAACAGCCTCTCTGCCACTGTGGATAAAAATAGAGCTTTTCTCTTTCTTAAAATTGAAAGTTGGTTATAATTTCTGGTACCAATCTGTCAAATACACAGCTCATAGAATTCTGCCATCCTTACACTAGAAAATATTAAAGAAAGAAAAATTTGCTTTTAGGGGAGATCTGGGCATAGTGAAATATTTTTAGTGATACCTGAGGGGCTCTCACCAACCAAGTAGGAAACATTTCATGCTGGTACACTACTATTCTAGAATGTGGTCACTGACACTTCTGGTCACAACAGATGGATCCAGGGAGCAGTTGTGGGTATATGAGTATGAGTATGTCTACACAGGGAGTTTGGTGTCCAATCTGCACTAGTTTTGAGGTGCATCCTGTTACTGCACTTACATTAGAACGAATAGGACAATTCTTAGGAATCTGGTGTTAAGAAGGCTCTTCTAAATTAATCACTAATTAAAATCTGGCAAAGTACTAGAGCAATTGAAGATTATCTTGTGATAAATGCTTTGTTTCTTATATGAAGTAAGGGGTGTTGGCTTTTTGATGAATTAAGGAACTATTCTTTAAAGAACTATTGCTGCAATAGACAGCATGTCTGAAAGAATAAAAGATAAGGTTTACAAAGTGTCAAAAGTCCACTCCAGACTATATCTGCCTCAAAGTGGTGCCTGTATATGAGGACTCAAGTGTGCTGGGAAAAAATAGTTCCTATTCACAGTGCTGTAAAATACTAAGTAGTGAATTTGATAAACAACATATGGAGATTTGTACAAACCTACATAAATAAAATAAAAATATTTTGGTAAAATACATAAGAGATTTTAATAATGGAAAAATTCCCAAAATAGATTTTTGTTTCAATTACATGTCAACATTTAATAAAACTATTGAGAAAGAAAGTTTAATATTTCATCTGATCTTTGGGTTAAATGCTCCTGATTTGTATCCAGTTTTCAAGATTTGAAGACTCTACTTGTCTGAAAGAAAGCCTCCTAAAGCCCATATTTGCCCTAAAGCTAGTGCAGTTGGAATCAGTTACCACCAAGTTACCAATAAAGCTGCTGTTGCATTTATGTCACAGGGCTGAACTCTATGGATCTGAAGCTGTTTAGATTATAGCTAGAAACTCAAATCAGTTGTGCCACTGCTATATGAGTTCTGTTTTCTTCTACCTTTCAGGCTATTTGCGTTACTATTGACAAAGATTTTTGTATTTTTTAATCATATTATTTATCAGACTACTGCAATATGACAGATTGTCCTGACTAACTACACACAAAAGCTTAATGTTTTGAAAAGCATTAACATGAGCAGGACACTAAAAAATAAATTCCTCCAGCATTGTGCTGGAAAGGAAATGTTTGTTCTTCCCAACAAGATTGGATGAATGTGTTTGTCAAGTCTTTGTTTTGATATTCTTATCTTCCAGCAATTTTATAGGGCTCACTTAAGAAGTGTAATGAAGTGTCATGTCTTGCTAATAACAATAAATATGAGTAGGGAAATTAAAAACTAGATAAATTTAGCTGGGGTACACTTTGATAATACTGCTGTCAGCAGCCACAAGCCCAACCCACAAAACTGTTCTCCTCCATGGAAGATTTTTTCATTGGCACAAAATGTAATACATTTTGTTTAGTTTTGTTGCAAATGAGACAAAATCATGGTTCTGTGAACTCCTAGAATTAGTAGAAACCAGAATTACTGAGGTTCTTTGTGCATGGTGGAAATGAAGCTGCTAAGGAGTCTGTTATGGAGGAATGTATACTTACTGAATGTTTACTTTTTTTTTTTACAGTATGAACTGGTATTGAATGAATGAATTTACAGTAGACTTTCAAAACTTATTTTAATTAGAGCCAAAATATGATTAGTGAAAACATATTTAGGGCTTAACTATGAAAAAGCCTGTAAACATTCTGAAGAATGTTCTTACTATCTTTGTTTAGCTGTTTGTTTATGAACTAAACATAGGAGGAGAAGAATAAACATTTT